CCCCCACCACCTACTTGGTGTCCTCTACAAATTTAATGACTGTGTCTCCACATGCTTCTCAGGGGTCCTGATAAAGATGTTGAACAGAATTCATCCCAGGATAGACCCTGTGGGACCTCACTTGTTACCCACCTCCAGGTAGAGCACAACCCCTTGAGCACAACCCTCAGACCTCAAGTATCCAACCAGTTTTTACCCATCTAGTTGTCCTCCCATGCGGGCTGTAATGTCCCAATTTGGACACAAAAATATTGTGAAAGACAGTGTTGAAAGCCTAAAGGCAAGCAGGTTGGTAGGGCATGATCAGCCCTTGGTAACTCTATGCAGACTGTTTCTGATGTGTCCATCACTCCGTGTGGAGTTGCTTCATATGATTGAGTACATCCATCAGATTTTACCACAGTGATACCACTTGGGGGGATAAGTAGCTAAAGCCCAAATTAAGAACACTAGAACTTTTCCTTAAGTAACTTATTTGGTGAGGGGCGGTTATCTAAGTCCCCATGAGACACAGCTTTCTAAGCACCTTTGCAATCTAGGTCTGAGATGAATGAACAACCTCTTATGAGTTCATGAGCTAAAAACTGCAACCACAATACCATATGCAACTACCAAATCACAGGCTAACTTTCTTGAATTAGAAAGTCAAAGTTTTAAGGGACAGGTGAGTTTTTATATATTTAAGGGTCAAAAAAAAGGAATAAGCAATGAGCTGTCCAAACAAAATCACCAATTCTCACTTGCAGACATCCACAAAAGGGACCTTATAGCAGGCAGCACTGCTTCTGGATTATGGCATTTGGTGTATTCAATGATCAGTCTTTCCAAGAGACCTTTCAACAATAAATACTTTCAATTGGAGGGAAAAAACTGCTCTGAACATTAGGTTAATCCTTTCAAGTTGCTATCCAACTATTTGAGCTTTAAATCTATGCACTGACAGTACAGTAAAACATTTCTATTTCCACATATTTTGAAGTTTGACTCCACGAACACATGTCTAGAGAATGTGGGGAAAAAGGACCTGAAAACAGCTTAGTTTTTCTACAGAGGACATCTCCACAGCAAAAAAATATTTCTACTAAATATTGGTTTTTACCAGTCATTTGCCTCAATTTAGTGCTTAGTGTTTCCTATGTTAAGCAATTCATTATAGACCTAAAAGTGTCTTAGTTAAATCAGCCTTCAGTAGTCTGTTCAGGTTGTGGTGCTTGGTTTTTTCCATGTACGATATGAAGCATTTTCCATTGCTTGACAGAGGCATGTAAGTGTCCTGACCAGGGCTGTGCAAGGGAGAATTAAGACCATCATCCTTTCACAGGCAGTCTTTATTGTGGATGTTCAACAGCCTAGATATTCAGCAGCCTAACTATAATTTCACAGCCTCTCTGCCCCTCCCCTGCTCTTAAGACTTTTTCCACTTGACATGGGCAAATTGTGAAGCTTTTTCAGTAGGAAAAAAGCAAAAACCAGCAAGCCAGGACTGTATTAAGTTGGCTTCTGCACTTCAACAGAGTAGACCTCTTCAAGCAGACCTTCTTCCAATAAGTGACAGTACCAACCATTGTTGTGAGCCAGCTCTGAGGAGGAATAGGAGCATGTTTCTTCACAGACATGTTGTGGCATATCTACAGAATGTAGTGGCAGGTCTTCACTTGTATCCAATGTTATGGAGTGAAGAGTGCTTCTGTAGCTGTAAGCTTTTTTCCTTTACCTGAGGTCTCCCATCCTATTTCTTCCAGCCTGAGTCCTTGTCTCTGTCCCTCTTCCCTAATCTAGCAAGATTCAGCACTTACATAAAAATTAATAACTGGATCTTCACTGGTCCAGCAAAGATCTGATGGGGGGCAGGGAAGGGGGCTGGCAGGCGGGGGGAGGTATGTCCATTAAAAATATAAGCAAATACAAACCAGGGTGTTAAAAGGCACACTACAGCTATCTGTAAAGGAATGATGTGGGGAAGGGGAAGAAGTGAATCACATCAGCAACTTCAATTCCTTTTATGTTAATTTTCCTCTATTTTTGCTGGCAGTGTAGATATTTTACATTATTGCTCAGAGGCAGATCAAATAGGAGGCAGAAAAGAATGTGGCAACAAAGGGACAGTATTAAGAGAAATCTGAGTATTTGTAAGGGAGAGAAAGAGCCAGTTTCAAAACCAGCTTTGCACTCACACTGGCTAGCAGACACTGAAAAGAAATAGCAGGTATTTAGAACCAGAGGGCTTTGCATTCAGCTAGGAAACAAAAAATTATGCCATTACCTTGAATACTACTTCAATAACCAACTAAAGCCATATTTATATATCTATTAGCAGCAAGTTCTTTGAGAGGAATACAAAGTGAACTTAACAGTGAAACCTGCCCAAACAGGTCATTAATGTCCCATTGCTCTGTGGGCCTGCGAGACTGCAGCAGGAGCTGAAACAAGAATGATCTCTGAGAATTCATTTAGTGGCCACCAGCACAGCCACAGGTGGCTGCTGTAGGAGCGCTTAGTACAGCTATACCAACTTCATTAGTTGCCAGAAGTCACATGACAGAGCAATAAAACAGAATCAAACACTTGCAGATGGCAGGGGAAAAAAATTGTTCAAAGATAGTAGGGCATTTGTCTATGCAAGTTGGATCTGCTTTTACAGAAGGAATCCCTGACTACTCTCCAAGCCTGCTGTGGAAGTAAACAACAATTTCATAATACAAAAATGAAGAGGGGCAGGGCAGAATAAACCTAGTGAGATTAAGAGCCAAAACAACATCTGCAACTACGTACAGGCCATCTTATATCATCTGCTGCTGCCTAATATTCCTCACTTGTCTTCCCTCTGGCTATTTGATCCTCCCTCTGGCTATTTGAAGGCAGAGAAGTTCTACCTAGTCAAGTTTTAAGTCTCCTACAGACTTCAGAAACTACTTTTGTGTGCCTAGGTACTGTTCTGACAACTTTGTTCAGCACATTGGACTACAGTCAGAACACAAGTTCCCAGAGCCTACTGTTTCTGTAAGAACTAACTCAGGTTCACAAAATAGATTTAAGTTGCTACTTCAACTGAATGTTAATCCCAGGAAGAAGTGTCTGTACTGGCATACTCCATATGTCGCTTGGTATGATACTGGTGACAGCAATGAACTTTAGCAAAAAAGTAGAGCTGTACACCTTTTGTATGAAGGCTAAAAAGGCAGAGCATTTTGCCTTTATTTAGCTGCCATGCAAATTTATAACTGAGAATTATGTTTTAGGTTTTGTCACTTTTCAACACAAATACTGTGTAGTATCCTGAGTTAGACACCTAACAGAATTCAACCTTTTCAATCCAATAACTAATAATCCTTACATATTAGGTAGGTATGAAAGGCACTTTATCCCAGAAAGTATTCAGCAAAACAGATACAGTATTCTTGGCCAGAAACTTTAGAGGTCTCCTTACATCCTAATCTTTGCAAGACATTTTAGTCCACATGCATCCCAGATACTGAAAATGTCTACAGGCAGACAAGAGTTGCCAGGGATAGCTGCCTAGAAGCTTCAACTCCCCAAAGAGTAGCAAGCTTGCTAGAAACAACTTATTTAAATCTGCAGAAGTTGGCAGCTGTCCTCATCTGTCAAGAAAGGAGCCCACAATACACAGAAGACTGTTAAGAGAACAGACCCCAGCTCTAACTGCAGTGAGAACAGGCACTAGAACCAAGCCCAGGAACTGATCCAAGTTCTGACTCGAATTTTATTGTTACTATTTTAGAGACATGAGTGATTGAGAATGATTTAACAAGTCATCACTAAAGCATAGCCAGGACATTTTTGCTTCTTCCAAACTCTGTCTTCGCCTTGAACCTGCATCCAATCAGAAGTAATTTCTTCTTCACCTTGAAGGGGGAAGTATTAGCAACATTGAAGTAGGACCTCATGCTACAGTAGTTATGGGGTGGCAGTTCAAGGCCAAGGTCCTGCAGTATCAGGGGAGAAACCATGACTTTATCCCAGAAACGCAATTTGTCATTAAGGAAATGACTTAGTGGCTAGAGAAGGTACCTTTTACTCAGTTGGAGACTACCAAGTAGTTATGCCATAAAGATCAAAAGCTTCCTCTTTCTTTACTCCAAATTTGATCACAGAGCAAAATACCTGAAGACCACAGAACCTGCAAGTTAATTCAATCTTTATCCTTCTCTACTGCATGAATGAACTGTACATGTACAGTGGATAAGGAACACACTTGGTGCTACTAAAATTAGCACTCAAGTAGTATGGTACTAAACAGTTATCATCAAAATGAGTATCTCCTTCTCAGATGCAGAACAGTTGTACAATTTATTTTTCATTCCTATGGTTACCAAAGAGAAAGGCTCCAGCACTTCAAGTGGTCAGTGTCTTAGAGCCATTACAGTGAATTTAGTTCCCACAGGGAAAGGGACACTATCTCATTGGTGCTTATTGCAGGGGACTTCTGTCATTACAGATGTAGCAACAGGGGCTTTTCAGCACTGAGACTCCAGGAGCAGGCTGCTGTGATTAGCTGCCAAGTCACAAGCTCTGTTATTCCTTTGTACCAGTGTAGCAGCTACCAAGATGCAACTTGCACTAGCTTTACCATGAAGAATAACTGCTAATAGCTTGACACTACTGTGAGCTCATGCATAACATCCTTTGCAAGGACCTTACACTTACCTAGCAGACAATGCTTTGACCTGTACCCATGTAGCATCTCTGTCAATGGTACCTCTTAAGAGCTTGCAAGAGTAGTTGAGTATTTTTAGCCACTGTCAGTCCTAACTTAGGAGTCCAGCTGGACTCCTATGAAAGGAGACCCAATCAGTCCAGTACTGTGCAGACTATTAGTCTCAAGTACAATCCTCAGTCACCTGGCAGATGAGTACTGTCTTAGCAGTCTGGAACTTCAGAAATACTTCATGTTCTGGCTGGCAGTAGTGTAGCCCACTAAAGCTTCTAACTTAGGAGACACTCTATTTTGCTTCAGTGCTAACAAAAATGGAGACCAACAGTTTAACTGCTTTTTTTTTTTTTATTTTTCCCCTTCTCTGCATTTAAGATTTACAGTGGTTTCTTAAAAGAGCATTCATACCTGTATACCTCTAAGAGATAACAGACAAGATTGTTTCAATCATACATATAAAATCACTTATGTTTACAAATTTTTGGCAATCATAGTAACCCGTTTTTTCCTATTGCCATTGCCCCAATCATTGAAAAAGACAGTGTACAACAATTTATATTTGAAGTATTTCAAAGTGCTTGATAGTGATTTTCCAAGAATAATATTTACAAGTGGCCTATACATATATGTACAGGTGTTACAAGTTGTGGCTGGAATATGGCTTTCTATGGAAAGTGCTTTATATTTGGTCAGTGGTGTTACTGACTGACAATCCAAGGGTTACAGATAAAACGGTAACCACTAAAAGCTGAATTGTTGTGGACAGCTATTTACAGAGTTTGTTGTTAAGCTGTATAAAACAGCTATTTACGTAAGTGTTCCATACATACAGAAAGTATCTTCTTTCTTCCAAGAATGGAGGAAGTCTTTCAGCCACAAACCTGGTTACTATCCCCAAAGAGTGTAAAACACAAGTAAACCGGAAAAAGATTCCTGATCCAGTGCTCACGCCATATCATCATCTGTGCTTACAACAGATATCTGTACAAAATAAGTACAAGTTAGCTACAATTATACTAATAAAAGATGCAAAACAAGGCATATCATCACTACATGGCAGTTTGAAATGGGCTAGTTCTGCAGGCTGGTGACCACATTCAGTACCAATTACTCCATCCCAGGTATAGGACAGTAGTTGCCTACTACTACTTTAACCTTGATTAAAAAGGACAAGTTCTCAGCTGATTCAGCCCAGTGGTTTGGCTGCAGCCAGCAGCTTTCAGGTTTAGGGGAGGTTTCTGCTCTTAAGTCAGGTATCATTTGACAGTCTTTATGTCTACTCTAAGGGTTAACCTCAGACACGTCAATAGCTTTACTTACTGCAGGGTAGGTGTGTCCTACTGAACTGCTGTGTCTTCCAATATCAATTGTGATGTCCTCTTCTGTAGTTTTCAGGTAGACAGGATTATCAAAATTCATGCTTTTCATGTTCTTGTGCTGCCAGTTATGCCACATGAAGTAGCCAGCCATTGCAGCCATCATCAGCAACACTTCAGAGAGAGAAACAGATTGCAAGTATGGAGTAAGGTCAAGTCAAGCTCTTAAAGAGTGGCTTGCCCCACCACAAGGGGTCCCAAAAGCTAGTGAATGCTGTACTCACAGACAGGAAGAACAGACCAAGCTGCTGATGTTCCTCCAGCTATAACAATTCCAGATGTTGTACCACTCCTGTTGAATCCTGCATGAGAATTTGAAGTAGTGAGCTTGCTTACTGACAGGCTGGCAGACTGTCAGATGCAAGCACTTCCCAAGCCCAGAAGCTGCTATCATATATTGGCTTCTCAGTAACACACTGCAAGAACAGCCTAAACAGGCTTAATTCTTTATTAGGAGAAAGCTTTTCTTATTGCTTGCCTTCTCTGAGCACTTCTGGGATTTCATGGAACCTGTAGGTTCCACACTGTCATAAGTGAACTAGTTCTGTTCATCACATGCTCCAGCTGTTGTACTTGTACTACATACATGACCTGGCCTGTGTTCTCTACCTGCATGCAAAGGAGAAAACTTCACATAGGCTAGTGGGTCAGTTTGCATTTAATTTCTCTAATGTTCAGCAGTCTGAGTTATTGGGACCAGTACCTCCAGGAACTAGTCCAACAGTTGGAGATTTTTCTGTTGTGCTGGTATCTTTAGCCTCAGTGTAAGCCACAGTTGTTCCAGTACCTGAAACTAATTATAGATCAAGAACCCAGTTAATCCTGAAGTTCTGCAATGGCTTAGCTATGAGAGCCATGGTAGTGAATGTTTAGCAGATGGCAGAATGATCATGCAGCTTGTTAGCTTTATTGGAAACACTGACATTAGTGATTTCATTAGCATACACTCAGCTGAGGGGTTTTGATAAAAAAATTCCAAGAATAACGCTAGACAGTTAATCAGGCATGAATTACAGGTATTTAGAGTCATGACAACAGTAAGCCACCTCAGGTTTTCTGAGTGAGATTTCAGTTCTAGAAGTTTACTGGTTAGCTACTGTCTTTGATACCTATGGCAACCCTTTAGAGCAGCCAACTGAGGGCAGCGTCCTTGCTTTCAGTGCTTTAACTGTGGCAGTCAGAATCAACATGCAATATAGTAAGTGGCACCTTGGAGTTTCTAGTTCCACTCCACTAGACAAACAAGCCTGCAATACAGTCAGTGCTCAGGGTAGTAGCAGCAGCCTGTTAGTGTGGACCACGAAAGGAGGTCCAAACAAACTTCCTTGGCCAGCAAGACTAGCCTATCAGCTTTTCAATGCTGTGTATTCACACAGTGTAGAGCCATGCTGGTTTATATCCCTTGTTTTATAAGAAAGGGGCTTGGTATGTTATGTGCATGTGCTTGCTATCCGAAGAAAGCCATGGAGGTACAAGGTCTTGTTGCAAATGATGACGATGCAGAAGCCAAGCATGGGCTTTGAACAGCACCTGCTAACTTTTGAGGGCCAGCTTAATGCATGCTAGAAGACTACCCCCTCCAAGATTAATTACATCAGATTAACTCATGCAATGCTGTCAGCCTATACTGCCATATTTGCCTCTAACAGATTCAGCATTCCTACTCCTTCCCCATCCATCCTGGAAAAGATTTCAGTCATGTTACCATACCTGCACATCTCAGACCATCCTCCTGCAAGAAGTATCCAACAGGACATGCACAGGTGTACTTTGGAGAGTGTTCATTTATCTGAGGAGCAGGCAGGCACAGGTAGCTACAGCCTCCGTTTGCCACATTCTCTTCACACCAGTTCCTGCCTGTTGGTACAGCAATTGACATGAATAAGCCTTCATACTCCACATGTATAGCATAATTATTTGGTCAGTAATTGCTCTACTAGAGTTACTTGTCTCTGCAGTTACAGATTTGTTTCTGCTCTGCCTAAGAAAGAGCAACTGCAACTAGACCTTCTCTCAATCCCAGTGGGGGTGCCTATATTAGAAGCTCCAAGCACTCCAAGTAGAAGTGAAGTAGGCAGCTACGCAGGGAAGGGATACCATTTGCCACCAACAAAGCAGAGCAGGCTTCTTACAAGTATACACTGACATAACTATAAACTGTATTAGAGTTACCTGAAGGCTGAACAAGTTCATGATACACAATGATGTCCTGTGCATCATTGAGGTTGTTCACTAGGGTAACCAATTCAGATCCAGTAAATTTGTTGGCACCATAGACTGCCTCATTCTCTCCATCAATCCAGTACACACGGTCCTAGAAGACAGTCATTACATCCCATTACCTCTGTGTTGCTACCAGCACTGTAATTCCTAGCCACATACTAGCAAGAAAAGGATCTCTAACAATTACTACAGGAAGTCATTCTTACCTCAAATATTGTTAGAGCAAGAGGATGAGGAAGGAACATATGAGACTTCAGCACAATTCTACGGTCCTGACCATTAAAGTCCACACTTGACAGCATATGTAGTTTAGAATCAAGCCAGTACAGACGGCTTTTTACAAGATCTAGGAGGAAAAAAACCTAAATGTATTTACTATCTACACAGAGAAAACCTCCAAAGCCTCCTGCAGAAGTTGAAACACCCAAGGTTCAAGAATAGTTGCAGTGTTGCTCTAGTTTCTTACCACACTGGGATGCAGAAGGCTGTTGCAGTGCTTCCTAAGTGGCCTGTGCCTCAACTATAATATAGAGCAGTGCAAGAAAGGTTACCATTTCAGCATCTGAGAACTGCTATCTGTGCCTGGTGCAGTGTCTCCAGGCATGCAGGAACTTCCCATTCTCAGAAGCTGAAAGTAGTTCTCTGAAGGATGACCTTGGCTTTTGTAGCAAACAAATTGCTAAAGCTCCAGAATACCTCTGGCACAGAGACAAGTTCAACATACCTAGAGCAATTCCATTAGGCCACTGGATTTCTGTTGTCACAAGCTGCTGTCTGTCAAATCCATTCATTCCTGCTTTTTCAATTTTTGCTGGCTCACCCCAGTCTGACCAGTACATAAAGCTGTGAAGCAGAATTTATGTTGTATGATGCACTATAGTACTGTGTAGTATCACTCTTAATTATGACCAATAACTAACAAAGGCTAGCTAAGCCAGTTGTCAGGACATGAAGTAGCTGGTAGATCCGCTCTTTTAAGGGAACCAGGACAAATACTCACCCAGAGAGAGGATCTACAGCAATAGAAGCTGGCTCTCTCAGCTCAGAGAAAAACAAAACCTTTCTTTTTGTGCCATCTAGGCTAGCCACTGAAATGCTCTTTGCAGTTGAGTCAGACCAGTAGATGTTCTTATAAACCCAGTCAACAGCAATTCCTGCAGGGCTGTGTATGTTGTCCAGGATTCTGACATGTGTTCCAACTTTATCACGGGTATCAAGAGAGGCACTGGAAGACAAGAATTACTTGCTTTCAAACCCTTCCTCCACAGACACTACCACTTGGCATGCCTCAGCAAATACTGCGTACAGATCTCAAGCAGACAATGCAGAAGATGCACTTGTGACTTTCCACAGAGTGCCTTTTGTACAATTGTAGTAGCAGTTACTAGGAAGTGCAATAGGCTTACACACTGCTAGTTGTGGGAACTTGCATCTACTGTACTTTGTCTTCAGGACATCAGGAATCTAGTTTTCATCATCAGAGCCTAGAGAAGCAGCTTGGGTAAAAAGTGGGATGGTTTAGGGGAGCACCCTAGCGTTCAGAAGCTGAGTCCATTTACCTGAAGATTGCTCTTTGGCCAAAGTCAGCCCAGTAAAGCTTTTGCTTAGCAATATCAGCATCTAGAGCTACAGTGTTTCTTAGCTGCTCTACTAGCTGAATGTATTCTTTCCTCTCAAGGCCAATCTTCCTGATATCCCGGCGGTTGGTGAAAATTAGACATGGTTCTTTCCCTGTGAAAAGAGCATAAGTGTTTTCTGTAATTCTAGACATGCCATCACATACTGTTCTTTTATGACTAGTTTTAAAAGTCATCAGATTTAGTATTTGCCATTCCACACTTGCTAATGGATGCTGACAGAGGCCTTGGCTGTACCATACCTCATCCTTTTCTCCCTCCACAACTGCCCAGGGAGCAGACAAAAGCAGTTTATGTCAGGCAGCTTTAAGTACTGTATCACAGCATCATTCAAAGTGTTAGGAGTGTTCAGGTATGTACAAGTTATATTGATAACAGCACAACAACTAGTGTCAAAACCGCAATAGCATAAACAGTACAACACTTGCTACCTCATTTTAAAATGGGGATACGGAAGTCCTATGCCAATACTCACCCACTGCTTTGCACACCCCAGTAGCAAGATCCATCTGATAGCCACGGCTACATTCACATTTGTAGCCCCCTTTCAGGTTGATACAGATTTGACTACAGATACCAGGGTTCTGGCATTCATTGATATCTGTAAAGACAAGAATTTAATTTATTCTCATCTCCAATACCATCAGTAGGGTCCATGTTAACCTACTTCATACTTGCCTCCACAGGTTCTCCTGTCCAAAAGCTCAAACCCAGCTGGACAGTCACATTCATAGCCAATAACAAGATCTCTGCAGATATGAGAGCATCCACCATTGTTCACCAGACATTCATTTATGTCTAGAAAAGAAGAATTGGCCACCTGAGACAGGACACATATTTAGTCTTGAAGTCTTAGTCATGGAGTGCTTTACCAGACACCCATCCATTTTCTAATGATGTCTGCCACATCTGATAAACCACTCCGGCACTTGAAGTCACATGCAAGACACCCTCCTCAAATTCATACTTGCTCAGCTATCAGCTTATTACTTGTGTTACAAGTTGGCAGTAGCAGACAAAGATTGAGGTTCCTGGAAGTTTCAGAGTTTCTAATGCCTTCAAGTGCCTTCTGGCCATGGAGAAATCATCCCAATAGCCAGTTTGGCTAGGATAAAACTAGCCTATTGACTAGGTTGCTCTTGGCCATTTGTTTGCCACGAAGGAAGTGCAGATGGGCATTCCAGACTGACAGCTCAGAGTATCCAAGTATGTCTAGTGGTCAGCATTGTGTAATGAGTTTTTTCGCTTACTACACTCCTTGAGAGGCTCATCACTCCAGTCTTTGCAGTCTCTCTGCTGGTTACACACTTTATTGACATCTATGCATTCTCCACTTCTGCACTTGAATTTGCCAGGTCCAGAGCACTGAATAACTGAGATAATGAAGATTGTGAGGGCAACCACCAGCTACAACAGGTATTCTGCAAATACTTTACTTTTGCTTAGGTCCACTTACCATTGTTACAACTTGCTTCATCAGTGCCATCCAGACAGTCTCTCACACCGTTGCACTGCCTGCTCCCATGGATGCAGTTCCCATCTTCACATCTGAACTGGTCTGGTCTGCAGGTCCGAGAAGCTGAGGACACAGCCGTTACATACTTAAACTCCTGAGGTCTGCTGAAGGAAAGAAAATAAAACAGAAGCCAACCAGCACATCCTAGAGAAGGACCAAGTTAACTTACGGCAGTTGACTTCATCACTTCCATCCTTGCAGTCAGGATCTCCATCACAGCGCCACTTTTTGTGGATACATTCACCTGAGCCGCATTGCACCTCACTGGCAGAGCACTTCACAGGAGGTGCAGGCTGGCGGCCACATTGCTCTAGAGATTCATCCGAGTAGTCAGGGCAGTCAGCATCATCATCACACACCCAGCTGATGGGGATGCAAGTGGAACTCTTGCACTGGAACTCATGAACTCCACAGGTAGGAGGTGCACACTCCAGCTCATCACTACCATCACTGCAGTCATCTTGACCATTGCAGACAAAGCTCTTGGAAATACACTGCCCACTGCTGCATGTGAACTCTGCTGGACTACAAGTTACATTGCCTGGAGTAACAGGAGTAAGAGAGATTAGCAGATTATCCCAAGGCGGCCGACTTTCATATGAAGGTGTTTTGCTTTGTAGGTTCTTCATCAGCTGTTAGCTGACAGAAGATCAGCATCCTGTATAAGGCTCTAGGAGAACCTAACTGACCACCTACAGGATGCTTGAGCACCACACAGACTGTCCTCCTTGCCTTTGGATGGTATGAGTGAGCAGCATCAGTTTTGAGCTACTAAGTGAAAATAACCTCCTTGTGAAGCAGCTAGGCTGTTCTGCTTCAGCGTGCGAGCCTTTCAGAAAACAGGCTCAAACACTGTGAACCAGAGACAGAAGGTAAGAGAATTGCTAACTCTAGAGTACAGACTAAGATTAAAGTAGCCAGATGGTCAGCATGCACTGTAGTTTGAAATTGAAGTGTTTTGTGCTGGTGCCCAGGACGGCAGTGGCCCATTTGCCTGGAACACTGGGGATAACAGATCAAGATCTTGCACCAGTTGATCCTGTGGTATTAAGCACACCCACACAACTTACGCCAGTACAAATTATGCTGGTTTAATAGCAGCGTAGCTAGCAGCTCAGTATGCCCAGGCTGATAGTTTTATCAGCTTCATTAGAAATACTGTTTGTAGATTTACTTCTCAGATTAAGGCACTTGGTTGCTCAGTAGGGCAGCAACTCCACAGAGACATAACGGAAGTCTGGAGATCTGTCTCATTAGCCCATCCAGGTAAGATAGCTCTGATGGAAGCCAGCCCTGTGGTTTTGGTTACAGCAAATTTGTCTCAGGACACATCAAACAACTCATACATATGCAAATTCATTAGAATAAGCCAGGAATGCTGCACTCTAATGCTGGCAGTGGCAGCTTCATTTGTGTACCAGCCTGAAGTTTGCCCCCAACACTTGAAACCTAGCTTCCCTAGTCTATGCTTTCAGACAAGCACATAGAATCCTCCAGGACAGGGCTATAAAGCAGATCAGCTGTGTCCTTGGCTACAAGTCACTACTACATTTTTAGGAGACTATTTGTTAATGTAAGCAGCAACTAGAGTTACCTGTGGAGAAACTCTGCAGAGAACAAGTTCTGATGGTTTGCCTGGCATGCAACTAAGCCTATGGCTATTACCAAAGTTAGCCAGAGACCAAAGACAGATGTTGAATAGCTTATATTGCTGTAGCTCTTAACTTAGCAGGACAGAGGAGTGTTAGAACAAGTCTGCTTTGTTAAGTGGGCTGCAATACAAGGTGATGTATGTTTAAGGAGATATTGACACTATGAGAAATTTATCTTCCCAGGTATACTGCCCAGCTAGCTCCTTTCCAGACAAGTCAATTTCAAATAGAGTTATGCAGCCACCGTTTCTTCCCTTACCACAATTCTCTTCATCTTCTTCACTGTCACAGTCTTTTTCACCATCACATTTCCAGGATACTGGGATACACTGGGTTGACTGAGGACCACAGCTGATTTCATTTACCCGGCATGTTCTCATATCTATTGAAAAAAGTTTAAGTTCAATTTAGGAGTTCTGAAATTTAAGAGCTACTGATCTTGGGTTTTAGCAGTTGTCCTGAAAGTTCAGACTGAGAGGCTTCAGCTCTGGACAAAGTTGCAGTTAATTAAATACCAGCATCCATCTAAGCTGACGGCCCCATCATGGAAGAGTTTACACTAGTTCATAGTCTTCAGCAAAAAAAATACTTCTGGCTCCTAACAGATTAGTATTTTAAGAATATTTTTGTAGTGGTAGTTTTGTGATTGCACACCAGTTACTGTAGAAGTTTGAGCTATAACACATAGTAGTAGGCAGGAATAATGCCAAAGTGCAGTAGGACTTGGGGCTGATGTATTCCTCAGTGTGGATCCTATCAATACAGAGAAATGAAGCTTCACAGATCTATATTCCTTGATTGGTTACCACACTTAAGACTGGGGTTGCCAACTGCGAGACCTCCAAGTCAAGCATTTGCACTTCTGCTTCCCACCCCCCAACATTCAGTCAGTCACTCAGCTCCTACACTAGCTCTGGTTATCTTGCAAAGTAGTTGTCTTGGAGGACAGTGATCACGTGGTGAACAGGCCACAGCAATGGTCAGGTCTGTCATGTTGTGCTTGCTGCTTCTGACTGTCAGTAAAACTTTGTACTTGCTATCTCTTACCAGAGACAAGTGCAGAGTCCCCACTCAGTTCTGCATCTTTTTAAGTAGTAAAAAGTCTTGTCAAGACCCCAGTGCGGCCAAAGCTAAGCTAGCACTTAGGAAGGTGCTCTCCAACACAAGTTCATCCTTCCTTTAGGAGGAGAGCCGGGCTGCACACAGGCAAGAAGTCAAAACACTACTCCCCACAGGCTTGCCTGCATCACAAGCCAGGCTCACTTACGACACAGTTCAGCACTCTCGTCAGACCCATCTTCACAGTCCGGATCCCCATCACACTGCCATCTGTTAGGCACACACTGACCGCTGATGCACACAAAATCAGATTCAGCACATGTCTTCTTCACTGCAAGGGAGAAGGACAGCCACTTGTTTAGAGACCAGAGCTTAGCTTGTTTGTCACAGCTAGAGATAAGCTGCCTTGCCCTAGGAAAGTAATGCAATATCCTTAGTTCTTGGATGTTTGGTGTCATCCTCCAGTCTAATGACAGTGCTGTTTAACACTTCCTAGAGAGTTATACTGTGCACAGAGAAACATTTATCTTCCTGTAAGCAGGCACTGAAGGACTGCTATTGTTAAGGGAGACTATGCTGCTAGAATAGCTGGTTCTTTGAACACACTTGAGTTAAAGTAAGCTCTATTGATATTAATATTCAGATTTTGAACTCTGAGTTTATTATGAAGGCATTTGATTTGCCATTACAGAAGCACAGTACTATGTAACCCTAAGGTAACAGTTTAGGCCTGCTTGAGCAGACTGGCAGTTCAGCTACACCAGTGTTGGATACTGAGTCCATTTTGCCTTGTCTCCAAGTATATCTTGTCATCCATCTTGGCCTCTATGTCTGCTTAAAGCAAAAGCTGGCAGCCAAAGCTAGAGTTAGTGTTTATAGGAGACACATCAGAATTTTTCACACATAAATCAGGGCATTTAACCATGGAATAGCCAACAGCTAAGTGCTAATAGCAGTTTCGGCTATGTCTTCAAGCAGCAACTGAGAACAGGCTTGCATTCTGTTCTTGACTGTCACCACCCTTGCAAATAAAGAGTTTTGGTCATGAGCTTTTTTCTTGGTCACCAATTCCAGGAGACTTTCATAGCACTCAGGAAAATTCAACTGCCTCAGATGTAAGGCATCAAGATAGTCGCCCCCATTGTTCTAGGGAATTTGTCCTCTACTCTGTATTCTGACTATCAGAAGTGCTGGACCTGATAAGGATCTCTCCAGCTATCCACTGTTAAGCCCCCCTGCCAATTAGCAAGTACTCCTACAGAGGTATTATTTATTTTGACTACTTACCACAAGCACTCTCATCACTGCCATCTGAGCAGTCTTCATCACCATCACATTTCCAGAGTAAAGGAATACAGCGTCCATTACTACATGGGAATTGGGATTCCTCACATTTTGTTCTTGCACCTTCAACAAAAAAAAGGAACCTAAGCCCTGATACTGTTTAGCAATACTTTCTTGCTTTCCCCCCTACTGCCGATCAAGAAGTTACCCAGCTTAATAAACAGCATAACATCAATATGAAACCAGATTTGAGCTCCAAATTTTCTATCATGAAAGTAGAGCCAGAAGTTTTCCTTCACAGTACAAATGCTGAGCTTAAGCACTATTACAGCCCACCTGCCAGACAACAGTAAACCACCAGTGTTCTTCTTACTGAGTTTTCCTTTTCAAGGCAGGGTCACGTTTGCAAGGCAGAGGGATGCATGCACACAGACTTCTGCTGTCCAGCGCCTAGCACTGCATTCGCAAAACTCCTCAAACTTTAAGCAAACTGGGTTTAGAATTGACTAATGTCAAGCTGGATTAGCATTTAAGTACTCTGCTGCTAAAACATTACAGCAGAATCCCCAAGTGTAAAGATAGCTTAGATATCTGCTCTGTAGTTGAACAAGTTTTCAGGATTTAAGTTACTCCTCAAACAAGGGCACCCAGAGACATTCCTTAGTATACACAAAAAGAAATGTGATTACTTATCTGGATCTTGCTTATTAAAGTTAGATCAAGTGTGATACTAAGAGAGCAAGATAATTTATCACTTCCTTCCAGAATCAAGTCTGTTGTCTCCCAACTGATAACAGTCTTGATTTATTAGTACGCTTGAGTAAGGTTCTGCTTTCTGCATGGTGGTTAGAGTTAAGAGTGCATTTTCCAGAGTATCTTCAGCTCTAAAACTGTATGACCCCATCCCTCAAGGGAATCTATTTTGTCTTGAAGCCATGTTCTAACTGTCACTAAAAGCAGCAGCCTGCTTCTTCAGCAGCTGAGCCAGAGCTGTTTCATGTAATGCATGCAGGCAAGTGTGCAAGCTCATGCATTAGTATTGGCTGCACATGTCTACAGCATGATGCAAGACTCCTGCTCCTCCTTGGTTTATTGCATCATTTAGTGGAGGTGCTTTGTCTTGGCATTCCAGGGCTCACAAAGGGCATCAAATTTTAGTAGAACATTACTTGTTATTTTATATCTTCTGTGTATGACAAGCAAAACGCAAGACAATTTCCAAGTGGAAGGAAGCTATTCAGCCATTTCACATTATATTGGCCAGCCATCAGGCACTAGGCAATGGCAAACTCTGGACAGAGTGTAAGTGAGGACAACGGGCAATTTTACCTGCTGAGTGTCTCATGTAAATTCATGCTAGAAGTAAAGGATTTGAAACAGCAGCTTATTGAACTCTGCTAATGTTTTAGCAGTCTTACTGGCTGAGTAAAATGCTTACTCACTTGTCAGACAGAGTAAAGCCATAACAACTTGTTTCATGGGAACTGTGTTCAAAGAGTGCCAAAAACTGAACATAAGTTCTTGTGCTCTCTATTTCCATCCCTCCTTCCCTTTTCAGGATGGGAGTTACACTAGCATGCACCTTCTAATAGCACGGTTTCATAAAGCTACTACTATTTGGTCAAGAGCTGTCAAACAAGTAGCTTGCCTTGTGCTAGAAAGCACACCCCAGCCAGCTTAGAGAGGGTGCAGAAGCCACAGCTAATGCTCCCTCCAAGCCTGACATCACCTTGTTGTCCAGTAACCTCTAACAGAAGCAGCCTTCTGCTTGCAAGCCCTGGTCACGCATTATTCCAGTTATTACTGTACTACCACCTAAAATATGAAACAAGTGACTCCTGCTAGTTTGGAGACACTCTTATCCAGGCTTTCAGAGTGAGAACAGTCAACCTTTCCCAAAATAGCATACTAGAGATATTAGACTAAGCCTGCCACTCAGGAGATCCCAAAATAACTCCACACTCCTCAGTTACTCTATTTCAAGCTAGAATAACCAGAAAAGGCTTGCTAAGACTTCTTAATACATTGTGACTTACAAACATTACATCACTTTGACCAAATGCTACAGGGAAGCTACAAACAAGGCTAAATGAAACAGGAACTGAGCTTGGAGTAACAGCTATAACTTTACAACTACAACAAGCCATTCCAAGAAGGTATCATCGCTTCTGCAGCTGATACCAAGTGAAATGTCACAACAACTACTTTTGTTAGCCCACAAACAAGTAAAGAACTGACAGCACCTAACACCCCCACAGGTGCACAAAGGTAAAGTTCATCATCTCTTGCTATTCCTGAAGATGTCTGCCAAACTCTACAGGCCACTTGGTGTGAGCTCCAGTTAAGATGACAGTTAGTTCCAGCCAGTAACTAACTGTGGTCCCCTGTCTTATACCTAGCACATTTCTCCAATGCCGGGTACCCATTTGGTCATGACACTACCAGTCTAAGCCACTGCTATTTGAAGCAACAGAGTCATATCTCAGTTGCAGCTTCAGTCACCAGACACTTAATTTTTAGATCAGCATCAATTAGCCACCAAGTCAAAGCTTCTCTTCACGCACTACTCATACACCAGAAGCACCTTCACACCTTTTCTCCTCCTTGGGATAAGGCTTAGGCAAAAGATGTAGAAAACCAGTAACTCCACAGCCTGTGACTGCTAACACGTGTTATTTCACTGTTCCGCAGGCAACTACTTACTAGAAGTCGGCTCATAAGCAGCAATGTGTGCAGGATGAAGGAGCACAGTTACAATGACTACCCAAGTTAAACTGCCTTTCTCCATACCTCTGCTGTCACTGTTTGTCTCAGCCCCTTAAGCAAGTTGTCAGATTACTTGTCTGGGCAGCCTCAAACATGTGACACTTGTGTGCTGTCATCTGACACCGAGTCCCAGAAAAGCTTGCAAAAGTGATTGGGAAACCTTGTGAGAGCTCATACAGGAACTAGCTTAGACTCCCCCCAGACCCTGGCAATTGCAGCTACTAGTAGGAGAGGGCTGGTGGGGCCACCAACTCAAACTGAGGGAAGAGTCAGGCTAACTTGGTGGACTAGAGTTGCCCTCCACTGCGTATCTCGTTACGATTTCCGACTACAGTGCACTAGCAGTTTCAGTGCCAGCCAGCTTGGTCCTTCATACTAGAGCCGTTTAATCCATGTCTGTTGTAGACCAGACACGGGAGCAATCCCGTCATGTACTGGGAATTGAGGAGGGGCTAGGCAGACGTTTCCCCTCTTCTTCCTCGTATGAGGGCCGGATGCAACAATCCCCTGCCTGGGCCCTGCGTGGCAGACCCAGTGTTCCGAACTACTGCACACCGTTAGGACTACAAGGTCCAACTACCTTTAAGCATACTTTGCCAACACAGCCAAGATCTGACACTTCGGCCTACTTTAGGGCACTAGTCAGGAGATTAAGAGCCATACAGCAACACAGACATCAACTACCCATCTCCCACCTAGAAGAGTAGGCTAGACCCCACCTCCTGAAGGAAGAAAGGAGTCAGCCAGCTGATTACTACCTCCACTCAAGAGGAAAATATTTTTAATTGACTATCCAATTGGCTTAATGTGCAGGTCTCTCTGCCGTAGGGGTAACCGCTTCTACGCTGAGAGGCAACCCTGGAGCTCGCCGCGAGCAGCACTACTAGCGAGAGCCCAGCCCGCAAGCAGGGCAAGATCCGGCGGTGGCAAGACTCAACCTTGCCACCAGGTGGAGACCCCTTTACGGTGGTTACCCCGGCCCTGAACTAGAGCCACGCCAGTGCTGCTGGATGCCACAAAGCCAAAGTTGCACAGTAGTTTGACAGCATCTCTAACGCCGCAGCCTGCCCAAGGGCCCCTCTTCCTTCCTCCACGACAAAGCCCCAGTCCCCCCCGCCCCGGTAAGCCCCAGGGACGCAGACCCTGCCCTCGGCACCGGGCACGGCCCAGGAAATCAGACCCTCCCGCGGCACCCGGGTCGCTGCCCGGAGAAGTGCTCCGCGGTGCGGGGAGGCCCCGCCGGGCAGGGGCTCAGGCCCACCCTCGCCGGCCCTGCGCGCCACAGGCGGCCCGGCGGGGAAGGCGGCGCCTCCGCCGACAAGAGGGGCGGCGGGGCAGACCCCGTCGGCAGCGCCCCCCTGCGCCCCCGGGAGCCCGGGCCCGCCCCGGCGGCCCCTCCGCGGAGCCCCGCTCCCCCCGGCGCAGAGGGCAGGCAGCGTGAGAGACAAAAGAAAAAAAAACCAACCAAAACCCACAAAGCCTAAACAAAACCAAACCCCAAACCCCCAAACAAAGCAAAACAAAAAAACCCCAAACCGAAAGGGCGGGGGGAGAAGAGACGGGGTGGGGAGGGGTAAGGCGGCGGGACCAGCCCCGGCGGTGCGCGCCCCGGGCCCCCCGGGCCCCACACTCACCGTCGGCGGAGGCGCGCAGGCAGCTGAGAACGAGCAGCAGGCACAGCGCCCAGCAGCACGCGACCGCCCGCCGCCCCATACCGCGGCCGGGGGCGGCAGCCGCCACGGCGGTCAGGTCTCCGCGCTGCTGGTCCGACGGCATCACCGTAGCAGAAAGAGAGAGGGCAGGAGAAGGCGAGAGAGACGGGGGGAGAAGGCGCGGGAGAGAGCGACAGATAGCGTGAGGGAGAGGGCGGGCGAGCGCCGCGGCCGGAGAGGCGAGGAGAAGGAGTCGGACGCAGGCATGGAGGGGAAGGTGTCCCCGCGGCGCTCTTATACCAGCCGCCCGGCCGCCCCGCGCTGCCG